CACGACCAAAACAAAATGTTGTTGTGATGTGTGTGGTACCGAATTCACTTTATTTGAGTTGGTTGGACACGTCGATAAATCCATTATTGAGGAATACAACTCAACATTAATTTACTTGACTTTACTCGAAGAGGACGACATTGTAGTGTGCCCCAACTGTACCGCTGCAATAGAAATCGATCCACTTGATAAAAAGAAGGAAAGAGACGTCTTCTGCCAACACTGCCAAACTGCCTTTTCTATCAACAAAAAGCCGATTAAAGTCGTTCAACCCGAACAACCCGATGATGAGAATTTGAGTGATGATACAAGTAAGTACACCCCATATAATTTACAGGGAAAATCAGACTTCTCTTTGTTCTTCAAAAAGAATATTGATGTCATTACTAATTTTGTACAACGGTCGTATTCAAATTATAAAAACAATTATTATTTTCGCGGCGATCTCCCTTTGTTTTTCTACATGAATCCTTTCTTTGGCGACCAAAACACCCCACTCAAAAAATTGATCAGCTCATCTTTTCGACAAGTTCTCACACAAAGAGATTGTATGAAAAAATCTTGTTTTATGTGTTGGCACGGGACGTGGAGTTATGAGAACGCTACTGGAATCATGCAGAATGGATTTGATGTGAGAAGACGAAGTGGTCAAGCCTTTGGAAGAGGAGAGTATTTTGGGAATGATATTTCTGTGTGTTATGGATATGGCAGTTACCTCATATTAACATTGGTTCTGGAAGGTCCTGCAGTATCTACATTCAGTTTTGGATTTGTTGTTGATAACAAAACAACGGAGACGTATTGCCTTCCTCTTGGGTTTGTCACAGACGATCAAAAAGTTATTGGATCATTCAAACGTGTGAAAATCTTTCAACTTCGAATCAATACTGATTTGTATGAAGAAATAAATCATCCCAAAATTAAACGCATAAAAATGAAGTCCAAGTATTCGTTGGTGTCACGAACAGGAAAGTCGTCGAATTTGTCATCGAAAGACTCGGACACAATTGGTTTGATTTTGAAATCAAATTGTAGTTCTGAAGTCTCTTGTCGACTAGACATAGGAGAATGTGTCATCAATGTCAAACGAAAAATTTTAACGTGTGACTATGATGTGTTTTCAGTGATATGTAATAATCAACAATGACTTTTATTGTACTTTTTATATAACTATTGTTATTATGTTTGTTTTATTATATATTTATTGATAGAGTTCATTACTAATTTAAATGTTAAATGACAATAGTAAACAACAAATAGATTTCAACTCTACTCTTGTAGCACCAACATTTATATAACAACACCATTTCATACTCCAATAGTAATTATGGTGATACAAATAACATTATCGATGAATTGGTTTCTTTCCACCTTTATGTGCTGCCTTTGCACCTTTTGCGCCTTTTCTTCCAACATATCGTGTTCCCCCTCTCCCTTCTTCAAGGCTTTGATACCCCTCTTTCCTCCACAACTTGTATTGAATGAGTTTTTTCCGACATTCTTCCTCCTCCACCATAGTCCGCACATACTTCTCAAACTCCTCTCTCCCCAAAACATTCATGAATAACCGATACTTCTCCCATATCTCCGCCTCTTCTTTACTTCGCTTTCGTTCTGAACTTTTCAATTTTTTTGAATCGATTAAATTGTTGTTGATAACGATGTCTCGAATGCGCTTTCTTTCTAAACACATTTTCGTGTACCTTTCGAGTTTTCTCAATTTGCTCTCGCGTTCGTCGGTCGTGTCTTTATCCTCAAACTTCAAGTCCATCACATTCAACTCCGCATTATTAAAATATTCAAACTCAAATTCCCTTCTGAACGATGAAAAGTTACACTCGTGTGTTTCTTTCGTTGGTTTAGTGTTTGCTGTGCCATGGAATGGCGTTGCCTCCTTTTCTTTTTCCGCTCTAGTGTCGAATGCTCCTCTTGCATATGGCAAAACCGTCCCCACGACTTCCGGGTGTAAATTCGCATATGCCTTCCCAATATCTGGCAGTGGTTGTGTACTCGCCTCCAAGTAGTATTTTTCGTAGTGTTCTTGGCATTCTTTAGCCGACCTTGTTCCCATATATTCCGACACACCAAACCAATCGCCCAGCCCACAATATTCAATTGCTTCGAGTAACAAGAGTTCTTCATCCGCTCCCCAGTCTTCTGTGAGTAATGAGTAGTGCATATTTCTGACAATATGATATGGGTGGTTATTCTTATGTTCTTGCATTTCAATCCCCTCGCTAAAACATTCCAAACACAAATCAAAATCAGTGCACGTATCACATTTAACACGAGTGACTTTAGTGATATCTTTCTTGCAGTTATTACAGTGGAAAGGAATTTCGATGGGTTGGACTACCCGCCGTGATCGCATTTCCATTAGTTTTACAGTTTTCTTTTTATGAGTTTTTCTCTTTTGTTTTGACGTCTTCTGTTGAAAAAATTTGAAAACTTTTTTAAAAACTTTTTTAAAAATTTTGTCTTCATTCTTCCATTTTTTTCAATAATTAACATGTGTTTTTATTTTTACTATACTTTAATTATATTATATTATATTATAAATATTAAATATTATGATATTATAAAATTTATAATTTAACTAATTGAATAGTATTATATTATTCTTGAAGTTTAATTAAAATACTGCTTTAATTGAGGAATAGTTTGTCTAAGATACATTGATACATCAAATTCATTCAATTATTCATATTACCACCTTTTCTTACTATACTTTTTGGTGGCGAAAAGTTGATCAGCGAAGACGAAGATGATGACATTCGACTGACTTTTGCTGGTGAGTATGGATCGACATTAAAAGTGATTGGTTGATACCCAGAGACGGTGTTGAGTGTATTAACGTTGTTATAATAGACTGAAAGGAACTGTGAGTTGTAGTCATTTCCGTTTTCATAGTATTCGTCGATACCATCATCATCTTTTTGAACGTAATAACTTGGGTTTACAATGGGCAAGTCCTTTGGTTGCAAAACGGTGTCGAATTGATTTGAGCTGATATGAAGTTTTGAGGAGCTTCTTCGTTGCAGCGAAGAACGTGTGAGTGACAAACTTGAACTTTTTCGTAACAATGGTCTTGACTCGACCAGCATGACTTCTTCCAACTTCTCTTGTGTAGTTCTATGAGTTATTTTGATATGATAGTTATGACAGAACAAACAAATAGTTATATACCAATTTAGTGATAACACCAAACAAGAGGGAACCCAATAACAAGAGGATGACTGTTATTAAAAGTGCAGAAGAATTAACTTCTTCAAGGCCATCTGTAGTGATGGGCATATCTCTTTTTTAGAGTTTTTCTTTTTTCTGATTTTTCACTTTTTGATTATTTCCTTCTCAATAAAATTCATTTTTTATTATTTATAAAAAACTAATTAATTAATAATATATTATTAATTAATTATTAATTGCTCGCCAATTTCATCAATCCGTTCACTTCTCAATAGAAAAAACAAGGAAAGCGCGGACAAAATGTATTGCCTTTTTTTCAGCCTTTTTATGCCTAATAAAACTTTGAAAAGAAAGGTGAGTTGATGACTAAGACTGAACACAATACTCTATAGACTTAGACAAGGGGAAATGGTCAATCTTATTATACTCCAAAATATAAATAGCAGAATTTTTCAAGTGAATGTAAAAAATGAGTGCTTTACTCAGCTAGTTGCTCACTCCCAGTCGCATCTGATTTCCCCATTGATCCTTCAATAGCCGAGTTCGACGCAGTTGAATTTGGGTTTGATCCCATATACGATATTTTCGATGCCACATCCCTCAACGAGTACTCATCCAATTCCAGAATCCCTTTTCCACACCTTTCTTCAGTGTAGACTGGAGGTGGGAGTGGTGTATATGGTTGATACTCTTCAATCACCTTTTCAAAGTCCGTTCCGTTTCGATTACAGCATTCTTCTATGATACTCCTCAAGTAAAAGATCTCGTCCGAGAGTTCATTAATCTTTTTAATACGCATCATTACAGTCTTTTCAAACCCTTCAGTCACCTCGTTATAACTTCTGTCGATTTCGTCATTAAAGAGGGCAAGTGACTTCGGTTGTTGTAACTCCTTTAGCGCCTCTTTATTCGACCAGTCTTCGCACATCAATGCCAAGAAATGTTCCAACACAATTTGCTTTCCATCTTCCAATGACTTTGTGACTAAATTCCCCAAGACTTGTTGTGTCGCAGAACAAACAACAGCTCGACACTTCTCACACGCATTATCAAGTATTTGTCGCGACAAAATCGGTGACTTGTGCATGTCCGGTTCTTTAGTTTCCACGGAAATGCTATCCAAAAACTTATTCATCGGGTCATACATCGACTCGACATATTGATTGAACACTGCCATCGTTTTCTTCAATGGTTCTTGGCCTTGTTGGATGAACGATTGGTAGATCTTCGCAAGCGTCATCAACACTTTCTTTGCGTTTTCCGTTGGGGTGATCACTACTTTTGAGTACCCATTATGTCTACTTCAAAAAACAAACAACACGAGTTGTAATTCGCTGGCGAGATCAACGCAGGGGTGATAAGTCGATGGAAAATGATGATCGCAATAGCTCGCGTCCCGCTCCCCGCAAATTTCTTCTCGACGGCCGTTCTCAGTCGCGCGAAGATGTATTTAATTTCCTTCGGGATGTCTGTTCCCAGTGTTAAAAACCTTGTGCAGTGGAGTCTCAACAATTCCGAAATGGTCGATGTACTTTCCGAGAAGTTCGAAGCGTCTTGGTCCAAGTTGATTTCGTCAGTGATGTGGTTAACACTTTGTATAATGGGGTTCATATGTTTTTCAAGTAAAGAAGTTAAGTCTCTTCTCATGACACTTGATAACAAATGCGTCGCGCCACTATTCGCGCGAAGTAAAAATTGTTCCTCCGACGTGTTGGAAACATCAAATTCTAATTCCTCGGAAAGTACTCGATAGATTTGTCCACTCTCTTCAAAAAGGTCTCTCAACGAATCCCAAAATTCAGGGACTGTCGACGTCGAGTGGCGCATCATCAAGCGCAATAAGTAGAAATCGTACGTCCGACACATCTCCCAAAATATAAACCCCGAATTTTCTTCACGTGGCGTTTTTGTAATTATGGAGATCGACTCCGCTACTTGTGGCGCGTTCGCTGGAATGTCGGAAACTTTTCGAATTCCTCCAATACGTTTTTTCATCGGTTTTTATATTTTTTAAGTTTTGGTGTTCTTGAAAATTTGGGATCTAAATATCTCACTTTGACGTTTTATTTTTAGTTGTTATTAAGTTTGATGGTTTTTAGTTCTTTTTCTTTGTAAAGTAATTAATCTAACATTTGTTATAATTCAATTATAGTTTATTGGAATTGTAGTATAATAAAAAAATTAATATAGTCAGTCTGAAAACGTTGTCCGCTCTCCAACGTTGTCCAGGCATTTTTGGACCATCAAAACTGGAATATTTCGGGAAACAAATCGAAACAATCCCAAAACATCGTTTCATAATTTTTACCGGGATTTGATCGTTTTTACCTAATTCCTAATTTTTTCAACATATTTTGTGTAAAATTTTGTCAAATGGACAACGTTTTACAAGCAGACAACGTTTTTAGACAGACTTTATAATTTATATTTAATTATTTTCATAATTGTTAACCTTACGAAGTGAAAACTGGATAATTTATATCCTTGATTTTTTCACTTAAAATAAGTCACTTTTTTTATTTTTGTATTTGAACTAAAAAGATCTTAAATTAAGAACTGCGTGTCACAAACCAATTTAAATAATGAAAAATTGATAAATTCCGAAACGCTCTAATGAAAATTCATGTGTATGTCTCGTAACAGCAAGTGTTGACTATTTTGAACACATGGAAAATAGAAAACATGGGTCTGTAAAGACCAGTAGTTTGCGCGAAAACTAATCGATTTCGTGTTTTGAATTTATTTTTAATTATTCTAAAAATAAATTATGATCTAGATAAATCTTATCCAGATTTCACCTTCGCACAAAAAAAGTTGATTCAGTTGACTTGCTAAGGTTAATTTATTATAGTTATATAACATGAATTATTTGTATTATTTATATGTTTTGTAAATAGTTGAAATAATACTTAAATGATATAATTTATATTATTATAATTTATAATAATAAAATGAAATCAAACAATTAAAAAATAATTTTTTTCAAAAAAAGAAAAAAAAAGGATATAAATAGAAACTTGACAGTAGTGAAATAAATAAATAAATAATTAATAATAAAAAAACTAGACAAAGACATTTTTTTGTTCAATTTTAGTATAATCATATAGTTTCTATTTAATTTATTAAAAAAAAAACATCCAAATTGTTGTTTGGATGTTTTTTCTCTTGGTTTTGAACAAACTTGTTCAACCAAAAGGAAGAAGAACTTCAAAACAACTTGAAAAGGATAATTAAGATCTTATTACCTAAAAGGTGGTTTTGGACTAAACCTTCATTATATTGCAAAGCCTTAAATTTTTTTAATAATACAAGTAAAAATGCTTTGAATCAAATGCTTTAAACAAACGTATAAAAAAGGGAGGAGTCTTACATGGTAACCAAATTATTAAACTATAAAATAATAATTAAATCATAATTAAATATAGTAAACCGTGAGACACAAAAATACATAGAGGAACTTGAAAAGATAAGGAATGAGTAAATCAAAAGGTGGCGACATAGACAAGAAATTGAAGAAACATCGCATTTCGATTTTGGATAGCAAAACTGACCCGACGACACGACAAAAGTCGATTTTGTTTTTCTTGGAGAATAAAAAGGAGAGTGAGCTCATGCAACTATTTAAAGACAACAAACCATCACTGCACCACCTTTTCACACTTTACCCACCAATACTTGACAGTGCAAATAAAAAGCAGAGAATACTAACTGAGAAGGACGCACTCATCGTCCAAACACTTTTGGAGTTAGCTGCAGACAACTACTCTCCAAGTGAAATCACTTTTGTAGAACCTCTTGGTTTGATTCTTTGGTATTAGTAGTATTATTATTGTTATAATATAATAACTTATATTAATAGTAACGTGTATATATTAGTTAGTTAATTAGTATATATTAATATATATATACTTATGTCTAGTATCCATTCTTACAACGTTCTTGGCCGTCGAAACTCCATTCAAAATGCGCAAAGACGTCTTCCAAAAGTTTTTGATGATGATCACTAAACTGAACGCAACAGACGAGGAATTGCCATACCTCAAATTGTTTATTGGTGTTTTGAACTTGGAATGCTTTTCATCGGATGTCACGTTACACTTGACTTGCACTCACTTGCCCGTTGGTGTACCAACACCACAAATTATAGAAAACCCCGTGGAGAGTCCAAAACCAAAACAACAAAGCTTCCAATTGCTGGAAATTTTCTTTACGGAGTTGATTAAGAACACCGAAATATTGTACCCATTTTTCAAACACATTTTGTCGTATTTGGTGCCCAATTATTGTAAAGCAATCTTTTTGGATACGTACAAACAAAAGACGGGATTCATTGCGAACATCCCAAGTGACTTACTTGACTTTGTTCTGAAAACGATGTGCAATTTTGATTTGCTGAAAGCACTTGCGCCGTATCACGAGAAGCTTTTGGAACTGATGACTGTTCTGTACGACCAATGTTTAACACTGAACGTGATTGAATATCAAATGATCACAAGAACAGTACAATCGTATCTAAATAACTTTATAATGAATGAGGTGAGCGTGTTTCTTGTTGGGTCCGTCAACGCGGAGAACCTTCTTGTCTTTCAAAAGAGTGTTATAACGAAAATATCGCAACTGTTTATCAAAAACAAAGAGAACGAAGAGCCCGAAGTCAAAATTTTGATTCAAAATTTGGTGAAGTCGTTCACCGGGTGTTTGGAGAAACAAAATTACTTCAGTGATGACTTGAAGAAAGAAGTTGTCAACACTTTGGCGATAGGAACGATCGGGTTTTTGCCAGAAAAAGTTGGAGTCCAGACAGTCTCTCTTGTTACTGTTGTGATGAACTGTTTGTTCATCGTATGGATCTATTGGAACAGATACGACATCGAAGGGTGGAAGAAGCTTCACCAGGACTTGAAGCCCTTTTTGAAGAACGATTTGATCATTTCAGAAGTTGAAAGGAAGCTCTTCCAAATCACAAAGGAGTTAATCAATCAACATTACACGCTCAGAGAAGCGCAAATCAAAAGTCTACCGTCGCAACTTGAAATGATGAAAGTGAAGAATTCCAATTTTGTGTATTTGGACGTGAAAGAGAATGACAAAAAGGAACTTCCTGAGGATAAGGAATTAAAGGGATATTTGACTGATTTTACTACAGACGACTTACTTAACTTGTGGAACATCTTTAATGGCATTTTTGAAGACATTGACGGGTTGGACCCAATAGCACAAGTCAACTGTTGCCACTCTTTAATATCAATTATACAATTCTTATTAGACGTAGATGGAAGAGGTGAAACTTTGGATGACGTACTTGAAAAGGGACGAATTCAGATGTACGAAGTTTATATGCCCCATTTGATTAAGCTGATTAAGACAGTTGATTTGGGAGATGAGCAACATTTGCTCTACAAAATGTTGTGTAACTTGATGGTCAGGAAAGTCCCCAAAATCACTAATGCGGTATATAACTACTTCTATGAGATCATTCAGAACATTACTTGTGATAACGAGAAAGCAGTAGAAGACGTCTTAATTGGGTGTTCTCAGATCTTCACAATTGGACTCCCTGGCGCAGAAGTCTTAATTCCAAAATTCTTAGCACTTCTGAAATCGTTTAAAAACGTCAACTTTGGAGGGAATGAAGAGGTCCAAATTGCGTTTTTAATATCATCGACGTTAGACGTCTGTTTCAACAATTCTGAGATCCTTCAGTACTTTACAATAGAGGGTGACATCAATGAAATGATCACTTCTGTTTTATCTCACGTAGTTGAAGAGTTTAAATCAGCGTCTGGGAAGATCGAAATTGTGTGGATCATCGAGAAGTTCATTAGACATTTAGTTGACACTCAAATGACACAACAGAGGTATATTAATGATGTCTTAGATCTTGTTCTGAATATGATAACTCCAAAACAGTCAACAACAATCACAGACAACATATTCAATGCGATCATTCTCCTCCATCAACATCTTTTACCAGACCAGGTGGTCGTTTCGTTGGTCTCGACTCTCCTCGACAAAATTGAGAAAAAGGAATTGGACAATGCGATTGTTGGGGGCATCTTTTTGACACTCTCGGATTTGTTTTCTGGAGAGCGGAGTGTACTCGCAATGGACATCACTATTGAGTTTGTCCAAAAGATGTTCAATTCCTTTGTTGTTGCGATGTCAATGAAAAATGAACAGACCAACAAGATGGGCGGCGCAGAAGGCGCCGAACTCTTTGTAGAGACGGTGATGCATCATTTTGGAATCTTCGGCAATAAGGGTATCGACAAGATCAGTGGAAAAGAAGAGACGTCGACAGCGGAGTGGTTTGTACTTGGGGACTCCCGAGTCATGTCGATCAGTAAAGAGTTCATTGTGACTAAAATAGAAGAAACAAAAGAGTCTACAGAGATCAGTGATGAGCTTTTAGAAGAGCTTCTTGAGGAAACACCGCGGACACAGTTAAATGTTGAGAAGAAGACCAAAGTAGATATCAAAGAGAATAATAAGAGTCTCTGCCGAATTATCATTCGAGATGCTTTAGGGCGTTGGGTGTGGGATGTTGAAGAGCTTTGGGTCGAGTCTCAGTTACATGGAGGGAGTTCTTCAATAGTAGAAGACATCAAGAAAGCGAATTGGGAGGATTTAGTGTTAAAATTAGTCGAACAGAAATACAAAGACACGGTATTTAAAAATGAAGGGAAAATAGAAGAGATGTTGGACACGCTGAAAGAACAATTTAGCGACTTTTCGTGGGACAATGCAAGCGAAATATATGATGTGAAAACGTATGAAGATGATGTTGTGTTGTTTGGGAATCGTGTCGATCAATATAAGGAGATGATGAATAGTCTTAAAATCGAACGGAACGAAGTACCGGAGCGAACCAAATTTACTAAGAATGGCAGTATATCATCATTTGTATCAAGCATTATCGAAACTAATGCACTTCCTTCATTCACAAAAAGTGTATGTCCGTTTGAGATGACCGATCGATTCAAATTGGCGATTCGCCAAATTGACAAATTGCCACTCCGAGAGACACATAAAGTTGCGTTATACTATGTGAAAGACCAACAGACGTTGGTAGAGTCATTAACTAATGTTGAACCTTCAAAAGAATATTTGGTCTTTGAGGAATCACTTAGTTGGAATATTCAGTCCTCCACTTTTGAGAAGCCGACAGACTATTACTCGACATGTCGGGACGAAATCCTCTTCAATTCGTTGTGGAAGGCAATTCAGTCGAACGACATCGAAAACATTCAAGAGAAGCAAAAGCACATGTTCTCTTCATTTGTGCAAGTTGCCTTTGTCGAAGGCAATCAGAAGATTAATATAGAAGCTTTGGCGACACAATTTACTAACGTCTTCATCATCATTAGACCCCACAAATTAGGGTTTCGCATTGAAATCTATCGTAATGGAAACATCCCAATGTTTGGCCCATTGATCCATGGAGATATCGTGGCTTACGAGAATTTGCCACAGCTTGTGAGAGAAACCGCATTAAACGCGAGTCGGGCTGTCCACAACGCTTTGATGGGAGATTCGGTCTTGCGACCGTTTGTGCAAAGAGGAAAAGCAATCAGAGACTTGATCAGCGCTAACAAGAGCATCAATTCAAATTACTTCGAAGTCAAACAAAAAATCTTTTTTATGAACAACAATGCTCTTGAAAACGCGTGAAGCGTTGTCGCTCTGTACTGAAGCTACACTAATTCTTTATTTTGTCTCATTTGTGTGTTGTATTTTATGAAGTCTTCTAATGATCCAATTAACTAGTCGTATTAATATTTTTACTATGTTTTTATTATAATTATCAAATTGTATGGAACATAGTTATTGCTAAGGAATGAAGAATACTTTTTTCAATCACATAACAAATTGTATTACTATGGTTTATTTATTATAATAACTTAGATTTGTTCATTTTTCCAAAAAATTAATTTTAGAAAATGTACGAAAAAATTGTAAAGGTCAATTTATTTTTGATTTTAATTATTTTTAATTGAAACAAAATAGTATAATTTATTATATAATATAGTTTAATTGTTAGAAATAAATCAAATAAAAAAAATCCAATCAACAATTTATGTTATTCAAAAATTGTTGATGTGATGTTTGACAAAGGTTGTTTTGCATTTTACCCGATTTATAGTAATATAAAATAGCATCAAAAATACTATTTCGCTTATTTTAGCAATGTGAACAAGCGTTTTAAAATGTAGTGGAAACAAGAATTCAAATAAATGAAATTATTTTATATTTGATTTTAAAATCAAATATTTATCTGATTTGTTTGGAACATAACTCTCTGAAAGAGATTATAAGAATATAAACAGAAGAATATATCTTCAATGAAGATTAGAAAAGAAATTAGACATGTTGATGAACGTTAACAATCATTTTATTTTCATCAACAAGAAGTCAGTTATAATATAAGAAGTGTTTTATCTTATTATATTTAGTATGTCACAACTTTATTATGTATTCTATCCACCAGAACAAGAAGAATGTGCATTGATTCAACCAATTTCCGAGAAAGATTTTACACATAAAAGTGAAATTGAGAAGAGTTCAATTCGAATTGCTTTTATATTATTTGTGACTGGTTTTTTTGTGCCTTGTATTTGGATATACAACTACTACATCACAAGACAGAGTGCATCTAAAACAACACGGCGTTTTGGGGAATGTTCAATGGTGATATTCATTGCAATGATTTTAGTTGCCGTTGTTGGTGTTCTTGCTGTTCTTTGGTTTTTTTAATATTTAATAATAAAATACTTATTAATTATTCTTTACCATCTAGTTTAAGAATAGACGATACAATTTTAGTTAAAATTGTATTTTAAACTACATTAGTATAGTACTTATGTCTATAAATAGAACATATTGATCTTGTAATTACTTATTTTTCATAAATACTAGTTAAATAACTATAAATAAATTCAATATAAACTATAAATTAATAATAGATGATCTAATATAAAATTTGAAGATCAAACCCTAAAAATCAAACTCGAAGAAGTTTGATCGAAGCAAATAAAGAAGATAACAAAAGAACCCCAAAAAGAGGTCAAAAAACCATCAAAAGACAGGAAAGAAATAAAGCCTTTTTGTCTTTTTGAAACAAAAGTTGTAGACAGTTTTCCTTCACAAAAATTATGATAAAAATTTTGATGAAACTCAAAAAACTCAAAAATAAGAAAAAATGAACGGCGGTACAAACGTCCCCCTCCCACAAGCACAACCTGTAGACAAAAATTTCCAGCAACAAGGATATACACAATACCAACAGTTCCAAGGACAACAACAGCAACAAATGTACCAACAAATACAGCCAGGACAACAACAACAACAATTTTTCGACCCCCAACCCGGACAACAACCACAACAACTGGGACAACAACAACCGTCACAACAACCACAGTTCGATACTGTTTTAGTTAAAACCCTAATCGAACAATATTTGCAGTACTATTATAACTATCAACAAATCATATACGAATTGGAGAAAAAAGGAATATCACAGGACGTCACAACTTATGTTCTTCAAATCCTTATCGCACAAAACAGAGAGTATTTCATCGCCTATGAAATTCGTGTCACACTCAATGGTTTGTTCTTGTGAAGATGTCTTTGGTGAAGTTATCTATTGTACTCATATCTAGACCAAATCGACCGATTCAATAAATTCATTCGTCGTCACTTCCAGGTCGCTGCTCAACAAGTGATGCAACAACCCCCCGGAGCTGCTTTACATGCTCCACTCAATAATCAAGGCTCACAGATGTCACAATCGATCCCTCCACAACCAATTCAACAACAACAAAACATCGTACCACAACAGTCTCAACCTATTCAACAGAGTGCACAGATGCCACAGACGCTCCCACAACAAGCTCAACAACAACAAAACCCACCAATGTCATTCACAAACGACATGTCGGGGGACTATGCAAACAGCTTCATCTCTTCTTTCCAAGGCGACCAATCACTCGGTATGTAATTCCACTTCTTTCTGATGTTTTTATGACCTTTGATAATGCCTTTGTAATTGATTAGATCAATTGCGTCATTTTTTTAAAAAAGAACTAGAAAAAGTCACTTACAAATTGTCAAAGACTTCCTTTGGAAGTAAAACAGGTTGAAACATCTTTGGGTAGTGTGGTGGCAAAGACGTGTCGATCTTACACTCATCACAGAGTTTCTTTATAATTGTGGGATCACTATTTGTCAATGTGTTGAATGAAGACTCTATATATAGTATAAATATATTATATTATATTAGAACAAACAGTTGAGGATTCAATTTTAATAGTGAACGGATCACGTCTTCGTTGGTTAATACCTTCTGTTGGATGGCCTCTGTAATCTTTTGCATTGAAGTGAATTGAGAAACGTCCATCAACATCAGAAGACAGACTTCAGTAATGCGATGGAAAGACACTTCACGGGTCTTACAAAACTTTTTGCCCATAAATTCTCGAAAGGCATCATTCTTCATTTTGAGGGATAGACCACGCTGAACACTAAACCGCTCCGAGTCTCGCATGATCATTGTGAACAAGAATCGATCTATGGTATTGGCATATTCAACTACAACACAATCGATCACTTCAGTTGGGACTTTGTAGTTGTCCAAATGCTTTACTGTTTGAATGAGACTTGAATAGCAGTCCATTCGTCTACTAATTAGAACGTTCTGTTGATTTGTCGCTGAACAAAAACAAACACATTTTCTCTGTCTTGTAAATCTTTGATCAACACAGACATATCGCCAACACATAGTTGAATGTAAGTCGACAACAAGTCGTCTAAAAGACACTTCAGTTTGTCTTTGAGGAGTTCAATTTTACTTAGAGTTTCCTTAATTGGTGAATTCAAAGAAGCTGTTTTGTGTTCGAGTGCGCACACTGTTGCTATCCAATACGCGATGATGTTTGGCTTGTCATTTGACGTTTTCGCCATTCCAGAAATAGCCTTTATAATGGTGTTGTAATACCTACTATTAGTATCATTGCGCACACTTTTTTCGTTAATAACAGCAGCTATTTCAAGTGCAGCAGTTGTGTAATTACCATTAAACCCGTAGTCCGTGCAAATGATGTTATCAACAATGAAAGTAGACGTTGGTGTATCTTCTCCAGTTGCCAGATCTTTACTTTTAGACTCCATTTTACACTCCTCAAGTTCTTGAATTACTTCTTCCAAGTGATTTTCCATCTGCGTGTATTTCACTTGGAGTTCCAAAAACTTCTTCTCTGCATTTTCTTCTCGTGGGGAATACGAGCTTTCAGTACTGTCGTGGTCTTTTGGTATTCCTGGAGTCGATGTTGTTATCCCATGTACTACATGTGTTTTTCGAGGGGTTAAACGGCGCGGAGAAAAGACATCTGAGCACTCACTTTGGTCGGCAGAGAGCAAAACATTCTTCTGTACATTTAGTGGGTCTTTCATCGAGAAGTCGACCAAAAAATTCAGTGTATATTTCTTCCCTTCAAATTGGACTTTTTCAGTCGCCTTTTTAGTGTCCAAATAAGTCAGTAAATCTAAAGATAGAACACCACGTGTTTTCTCCCCCTTTTCTGTCGTTGAAACTAATTCAAGTTTAAGTGCCTTTTCCGTCTTGTATTGGTTTGTCTTCGAGTCTCTTTCTACAGTGACATCAAATGAGATTAAAGAACTGAACAAAGCAACGCCTTTCTCCACCAAAATTCGCTTCAAATTTCCCGAATTCCGTGTTGACCCTCTTCGCCATTTCATAAAAACTACTGTTTCGTTGTACTCCTCCAATCCACTAACAGACTCTATAGTCACTTCAAAGTGAATTTGCTCGACAAACGTGCGCTTCGCCTTCTTTGGCGATCCAAAGAGTGACGAAACGGACATCCGTTTTCCTGACAATGACGGTGAAGTTGAGTGTGTGTAGCTCATTGAAACTTTTCAGTTCGCTACATATAACAACACAGAGAAAACGCTATTTGGGTTGTTTTGATTATCCTATAAAACCATATCATTATAATTATTTAACTACTTTTTATAGTTAAATGGTGTGATCGTTTCTCCCTTGCTAAACACTATTTTTAGCAACTTTATCAATTTTTTGTTAAACCAAAATTTGCCACTTTATTTCCAATACTTTCGGGAAACCCTAATTTTGATTTTTTTGGTTACTATTCTTCAGAAGTGTAACGTATAATTTATGTATAGTATATTAAACTACAACTATTAGAATTGATCGATTAAAAGTTTTCCAAGCAGGGGAAGTTTGTGTAACACTTTTCAATCAAAGCGGTCATTGCTTCAACATCTTGTGCGCCACAAATCTCTCTGATGGAGTGCATTGACAACATTGGATTACCCAAGTCGATTGTGGTGATACCAGTGCAAGCCGACACGTGGGGCCCTATTGTTGATCCACCCGCCAAGTCTTGTCTTAAAACAAACGTTTGAGTTTTCACATCTACAGCCGCTTTTTGAATCAACAACCTTAAAAAGGCGTCAGACATATATCTCTGTCCACAGTGATTTTTCAAGACTGGCCCTCCATTAAGAGTCACTTTGTGATTCTTTTCTGATTTGTCGATGTTAGGATGGTTAGCATGTGCGCCATCAACAGACAGGGCAATTGACTTCGCGCAACTTATATCGTAGCTTTCAGTTGTGCAATTTTTGAAAAGAGAAAAGTGGACTCTATGTAGAATTTTTTCTAAGAAATTGCTCTCAGCACCAGTACGTGTCACAGAACCAACTTCTTCGTTATCAAACGCCACAAAAACGTCAAGCTGCTCTTTCTCCAAGTTCTCTTTCTCGGAGTTAAAGAACGCCATGAGGGATGTGTACACTCCGTTCAAATTATCGATTCCCTGCCCTACTATAAATTTGTTCGCTAACATTGTAGCTGGTTGTGAGTCACACAAACAAATGTCGTAAGACTCGATCGAATCTTTTGGTACATTCAGATCATCGCAAATCTTTTCAAGAATGTACTTTGTGGCAGACTCTTTCTTATCGGACGATTTCAAATAAGCGTGTAAGTCCTTTTCTGTGTCAACCAAATATTTCTTGTCTTTGTCAAGATGTACACACAACGCTGGAATGTCCAAAATTGGCTGTTTGACTGTGAATATTCTCTGCTCTCCGTTCTTTAAAACGACTCTTCCAGATACCCCCAAGTCTCTATCAAACCAAGTGTTCCATATCCCACCTCCATAAGTCTCACAAGCTACTCCCACTAACCCAACTGATGTTAAATCGGCATTTGGCTTCAGTTTCAAATAAGGGGAGTCCAAATGCGAACCAGATATAATCATGCGAGACGTCGAAGTGCTTTTGTTCGTGTGGAACGCAACAATCGCTGAATTTCCACGAACCAAAAAGTACTTTTTCTGTGGTTCCAAATTCCAAAGTTCAGACTCGTGGAGTTCTGTATATCCAGATTCAACAAGAACTGACTTTGTATATGCACAAGCGGCGAATTGCGAGCCACTCGCGTGATTTAAAAAGTCGATGAAACCCGACGAACTCATTTGGTTTTTATATTTCAAGTTCAGGCAATTTAAAGATAGTTTTGTTTACTACTAAAAGTGAAAGGAAAAGTTATAACAAAACAATCCAACTCTTAATACTTAGAAGAGAGTCTGTAAAGACGTGCAAAAGGCGTCAAGTAATGTTTCGTTCTCCGACTTCAAGTGTATGTTCACCGCATTACTCTCGCCAAGTACATTAATTTCTCCAATGATGTTATATGTCGGATTCACAACCATCCGAACTATCACTTTTGCGTTTTGCTCTTCAACCTTTTCAGCAACAACTTGGAAGCCTATAGTGTCTGTTAAGAGCGTTTTCACATTCGTGGAAACCACTTGGAATAGTTTGAGATTCAGAGTCTTTTCAAATGGCATTTTGTGGAAGAGTTCCGCTGATTGTCGTGGCTCGATGCTCTCGACTTTTTTCATCATGAAGTAGATTGGAACCTTTAGTGTGTAGAATGAGACTCTTCTGTCTTTGTGTGCGATCCCAATTCGGATGGAGTTATCTAAAGGTCCCTTTTTAACTTTTGTCTCATCAAAACTGATTGGAATATCATTTTTGATCACCTCGCCATTTTCAAAACTCGTGTCTTCAAAATTGCCACATGTCGCTCCAAAACTGTTTGAATCAAATTGAATAAAAAGTCCCGAAATACAACTTTTTGAAATGTTTTTGAGACCAACGCGGAGATACAAAACACCGTCTTTTTTGAATAAAAATCCAGATCCCACAAAATCGTTGGGGTTGTTCCCAACACTCATTAATTTGTTCTCATCCGTTTCTTCTGGCCCATATAACCCTCTTTGCGTTTTCAACTTGTCTTTGAGCTTTTTGAATAATTCTATGTTTTTGTTATCAACATCATTTTGCTTCTCGGAATCCAAACTGATTTCAGTAACTCTTTTGGGCTTGTCGATATATCGATGCATCTTGCTTGGAGAGATCTCAAGGACGGTTGAAACCTCACCAATGTGATACAAAAAGTCTTTGTTACCATTTCCTCTGACAACGCCTAGACTGTTGATATGGACTATTTTCTCACTCTTCGCTAACTTACGCCACAAAGAGACGGCAAGCTCTCTCTCAACATATTCGTTCGACTTCATCGCACACTCCAAAACCTTTCGAGTCGTCTCAGTGAAAGGTAATGCTTGGTACACTTTTGCTGTCGCAATCATAAGCGAAAGTCTGACTTCCAAACTCTCTTCTTGGTAATGTTCGATAAAGTCTAACAAGACTTCCCGAGGGTTCTCGATGCTGTTTGGGAACTCGCCACACAAAGTCAGTAAAGCGACTTTTGCATCAGCACTTCCCATTTCCTGAATGTTCTCCAAAACACAGGGAAGGGCTTTCATGTATTTTCCATTAGTAGTGAGTAATATCTCACACAGAGAAACTAAGCAACTTTCACTCAGCATTGGGACTTCTCTTGATATTTTGACTATCACAGAGACACACTTGTTCCCCAACGACGGAAACTTTGTGACTAATGTCGAAATAGTTAATAACAACCGTGGTGCAAAATCCAAAGACGCTGTCGCTGACTCACTTAACTCATCAAGAAGGTCTTTCACTGTCGACTCTTCTACTAACAATAATAGAATTTCGATTTTTTCTGTTCTCAAGAAAATTGGGTCTTCGTACATGATATAGAAACAACTGATTTGTGACGAGAAAAGTTCCTTTTTTAACGTAATAAAGTGCTTGATGTTTCTGTAAAGGATATAAAGCATTTCATGTTGTTTTTGACTCGTTAATTTTGCATTTACTTTCAAAATAATATTTGCAAGAATGACGTAGTCTTCTTCGAGTGTTTGTGGGTCCAAAAAATCTTTGAATCGAAGAACAAGTTTAAGAGTGTCAATGACTATCCCTTCGTTCACAACAGAACACTTATCAAATACAGTTTGAACAATCATCTCCGCTTCTCTTTTAGAGTGTGGTTTGTACTCATTGAAATATTTTAAAAACACTGATTGATCCCAGTCATTACTTCCTTCAAGTAAATGAACAACCTTAGTAGCTACTTGTTCTGTTTGGACCATTCTTGATAAAGCTGGAATTTCAGAGGCAACAGAAAGTATTGCGGCAACCACTACACTATCACCGTCTTCTAATTCATTTAATATGGAGTTCCCAATTGCCTTGAAGTCAACTGTAACATTGGGTATTTGAAGTATTTTAAGAAGACTTAAAATGGCGCATCGCTTTACATATGAGTCACTGTCTTTTAACCCTTTAATCAAAGGCTGGACAAAGTACTCTGCTGTTGTTTTCAGTTTGATATTCCCCATAGTCCGAAATGCAAGTCCTTTAACGTGTGGGTCGTGGTTAGTCGAGTCGATGATAAGAGAATTGACGGTGAGAATTGCTTCTTGTTCATCGACTGATGCGTACGTAGCTATATATAAATAAATCAATTGCTTCAAAGAAATGTCAGGAGTTCCAATGATCTTTAAAACGTCCATATACATAAATCCGCATTCCTTTCCTTCTGCAGTTGCTAAGACTATTTTTTTCATTGCTTCTTTTTGGTCGTTCACATTTTTCGACTGGAGACAGTCTTTCAGTTCTTGAAGTTCATCTTTTTGTTTTTCATCTTTATATTTCTTCGGTATTTTCTTTGTTGGGGTTGATGGTGTCGACTGTGGTGTCTTTTGTCCGACATTTCCAAAGAGAAATTTACGCATTTCACTTCTAAAGTTTCGAGTTTTTCAAGTTCAAAAGAATAATTAGAATCCCAAAATAAAAAGCCGACAAATTTTCAATTATTAAATAGATATTTTAATAATTAAAATTAGTTCAACAATTAATCAGTTTCAAAAGTCTTTTATTGAAACACTAAAAAGAAAAAAGATGTAAATTATTCACTATACGAATCATCATCATCTTCTATAAGTTCAAAACAATCTCCAGAAGCATCAACTTTCCCCTTTAACTGCGAACATTCGTTGAAACATAACATCTTATATTTCTGTATTTTACTTTTAAACGTGATTGAAAGCAAGTTAGTACATCCATCAAAACAAAAAGAAGGGACTTCTGTGATGTTCTTTGATATAACAATTTTACTCAAGTTGTTGCAGTTGTAAAATGCATAGATCCCAAGTTCTTTGACTTCATCTGGAATGTCAATTGTAGTTATTTCCGTGTTCATGAAGAAACACCCTTCGTCTATTTTATGAATGAATTTGTTTGTTTGTATTTCTGTAACCATTTGAGAAGTTCCAAATTTAAGAACATCACTTCTCTTCACTGTAATAGTTTCACAACTGATGTTGTGTTTTTTCATTTGCTCTGCAAACGAAAAACTCACTTCAAATTGGTATTTTGAATCATCGTTACCAAAGTCTAAATATCTTAATGAATCACATCCTTCGAACAGATCACATTTCCCCAAGATATTTTTGTTTTTGCAAACCACTTTTGTTAATTGCTTGCAGTTGTAAAAAGCACCATCTTCAACAGTCAAAACGGTTTCTGGTATTTCCACTTCTTTAAGGGACTCACAGCCTCTAAACGCAAAGACTCCAATTTTTGTAAGGCTTTTTGGTATTTCAATTTTTGAGAGTGCAAAACATTTAAAAAACGCGACATCACTAACACACTCACACCCTTCATATAAAGTCACTTCCTCGAGTCTTTTGCAGTTCATAAACATCGCACTGCCAACACTTTTTATTTGAGGTATTTCTTTGAGTGAAATGCAATTAGCAAAACATTTCTTTCCAAAAACGACATCTTTATCGTCACAAACAAATTTAGTAAGTGATGAGCAATGGTTAAAAGCACTCTCCTCTACTTCTTGAAGACTTTTTGGTAGCAAAATTTCTTTCAGAGAATAACAATTGGCAAAAGCTGCATTTTTGATTTTCAATAAATTGTTTGGTAAGACAACGCGAGTTAAATAAAAGCACATTGCAAAAGAATGGTCTTCTATAATTGTCACATTTACAATATCAACCGAGTGCATATGAGATTTATAAAAACCATATTCGACCATTTCAGTAATGTCTTTAGGGATAACAAAATGATTAGTGTTGATTATTAATTGTGAGTAATCGGTAATAATATTGGGTACATTTTCATAAACTTTGTTTTCTATTGTTTTTGAAGTGACAAATTTAGACGGTGTTTCCATGTGCATTACTTGGTTGTAATGTTTACCTATTTTTAAATAATCATCATCAGTAAATTCGATATTGTCAAAATGAAATCCGTAATTCAAAAGTCGTAAATGGCAGCTAAAATTGACGACGTATTTGTCGAAATCCTCTTTTGTGTTGTTACCAATTTGAATCTTGGAAAGGTGTTCATTTAAAGAGAAAATGTGTTTTCCAATCACTTTCAATGTGGTTGGGAGAATGAGTTCCTTCAAATTTTCATATGAAGAAAGTGCGTTATCTTTTACATAAGTGATGGTGTTTGGTATAACCAATTTGGTCACACTTTCATCAAAATTCATTAAATTTTCAACAACTCTAACATAATCAGGAATATCTAAAATGTTTGTTAGAACGTTGTGATTTCTTAAAATCACATTTTGTGTATCGAGTAATGCTTTATTTTCAATTTTTATTTCTGTGAGTTTTTGGCAATCGGTCACAAACGACTTACTGATTTTTGTCACAGTTGATGGGACGACTATTTTTTCCAAATTGTAACAATTGAAAATCGCATCTTCTTCAACTTCTTTTATTCCAGCTGGTATTTTAAATGTTTTAAATCTGCAAAATTCAAATGCTGATTTTGACAATTTGGTTGTGTGTTGTGGAAATTCAATGTTTGTTATGTAATTCGCAGTGACTGAATGATTTTCAACGCAATTTGCGTGTTTAGGAAGAACAAAATTCTTTAATTTTTTGCACTGATTAACGCAATAATTATCTGTTAAAACAACAGAAGAAGGTACATACAAAGATGTCAATGATGTTGATATGATACCATTACACATAATTTGTTCAACTGAAGTGTTCAAGTCGATTTTCTTCATTTCATTAGTTTTAAAATTTTTAATTTTCTGATATTTGGAAAAGTCGACGTTTTCTTTTTCGACGAATTGGAAATTATCATCAACGCATTCAACACACTTTTCAGTTGTGTTTATATGGAGTTTGTTCAATATTATTATCTCATTTTCAGTGAGTTCAAGTCTCATTTCTGTGTTGTAATTTGGTATTTCCAAAACACTCAATTTGTCGCAATTTTCAAAGATGGAATTTCCAATAACACAATTTTTATTTTTAATGGCAAGTTCCTCTAAATTTTTGCATTCCAAAAACGCGAAATCGCCAACGTAATTCACATGTTGAAGAATCACTTTTCTTAGATTTTGACACTTTATAAACGCCGAATTTCCAACGAACTTTAAATGTTCACCAAAAATAAACATTTCAAGTTTTTCACACCCTTCAAATGCGTATTCTCCAATTTCTTCCAATTCCTCACTATCAACAACTTCTTTCAGATTTTTACAATTTTCAAATGTGGAATCTGAAATACATCGAATTCCATTCAATACGACTTTTGTCAACTGTTCACAGTTTTCAAAACACTGACTGCCCAATCGGCAGTTATTTGGAATTTTAACTTCTTTCAAGTTCACACCACTAAATGCACATTTTCCGATGTTGATTAGATTTGTTGGAAAATTGATCGTTTCAAGCATAGTGCAATCTGAAAAACAAGACTCTGGTATCACCGTTATATTCTCTGGTAAAATAACATGTTTTAAATGTTCACAGTAAACAAACGCATATTTCTGGATGACTCTGACTGACTCGGGTATATATAATTTCTCAAGGCCACATGAATCAAATGCGTTGGTCCCAATCTCCGTTACGTACGACGGAATGTCAAAAGATGTGAGTTCTTCTTGATTCGAAAATGCCTGACTTGCGATGACAAAAACGTTTTCTGGGATGTGAAGACCGTATTTAGAAACATCTTTATGCGTGTAATGGACCTTTTTGTATATCTCAAATGTGCTGTTTTTCTCTTTAAATTCGTCATATGAGACGTAGTATAAATAAACGTGGCGGTCTATGTTTGGAAGAACCACATCGAATGGCGTAAAAAGGACTTGTGTTTGGATATTAGGAAACAAGTGCGTGGTATCTGGATATATTGGTATTGGGTTTTCTCTAAAACGATCAAGTAAAAATTCATATTTCTTCGAGACTAAAATAATTGATATGAAATCTTTGGGGGCAGTAAAATATTTTGTTATAATTTGCATCGAAAAGACATCGACTTTGTGCATTCAATACAAGTTGTATTATAAATATTTTTTGTTCTTATATAATGACAGTGACGTGGTTTTCAATAAATATTATATATTTTGTTGCTATAATAATTACTTTTTGATTACATTTGAATAGAAAAAGACATTCTTATTTTTTAAAATTATAATGACCAGTTCTTTATTATATTACAAGTTATATACTTTTCAAATGTTTAAAGAATACTATATTTGTTTAATAAATTTTAAAATCACAAAAATACTCAATAAAAATTATTGTTACAATTTATTGTAGAAATTATAGATGTAAACAATTGAATTGAAATACAATTAATTAATACTTGTTAATTTAAAAATGTGGATATTATTTTATATTTAATATATAAAGTCTGTTTATGTTATCAAGTAAAAAAATAATTTCAAATTTAAGCAAAATGATCATCAAATAAATTGTGAAAACATGAAACGATGTAAAGGTTTTTTAATGATTGTTTCCCAAAAGGTGTTATTTCTTATTTCTCAATAAACAGTATTTTTTTGGAAAATTGGTCTGTATATTTACAGACCAACTGTATTATTCATAATAAAATAAATATGATTCTTTTGAAAAATAATTTAATTATCAAAAAAACATTTTCATTAACACTTTAAAAAAGTGTTAATGAAACAAAATTCAAGTGATCTAAAAATCGGGAAATATCGAGTTTATTAAATAAATTTCCGTTTTTTAGAGTTAATATAATGAGCATCAACAATATACAAGCCAAAAAAGGAAAATCATCAAAAATTGGATTAATATCCATGTAAAAACAGACCAAAACAAAAATAAAAGTGTTATTTTAAGTGTTAAACATATTTTATTAAATTATTCAGTAATGGAAAAAACCTGTCGTGACTGGGATAGATCTATAATTATGCTATAATAAAATTATTTTTATAAAATTTGTCATTTGGAATTGCCGAATTATTTTTGTAATTTTCTTTTTTTTAACCAATCAAATAAAAGCATCAAATCGAATTTTTTACTAAATTATATAGTTAAATACCATTAATTTACTATAATTTTGGGTTTTCACGACAGCTTTTTTCCACTACAGTCAAAGTCGCTTATTTGTAGGTTTTCGTATTTGTGGGTTTTGCTTATTTGTGGGTTAACTGACCAATCAAAATCAAAACATACAAATAGGTTGTATCTTCTCGAAACTGAATAATTAATTGAAATCAATTAAAATAACTTTATTTTTTGAGTCTATCTGAAACAAAATCTAATATGGAAAAAGACTTCTTTTGTATTTTTTTAACTTATTTAATTTAAAAATTTCAAGTTTCTGTTAAAATGATTTCCATATTTAATAATTGTTTCTATATTTTATTTAAAAAATACTATAAAAAATAATATTTTTTGATTGATAATTACAAATGTGGTACTGAGGTTTCGACTAATAATTAATATTTTTTATAATATTGTATAAGTTAAATATAAGAGTTATATTTATACGTTTTTTTGAAAATAATTAAGAACCATGTTCATTATTATTCAAATAGTATTTAAATAATAAAACGAAACCTTAGTATTCGTCGAAACTTTAGTATCATATTTGTAATTATATTATCAGTCTTAAAACAGTAATAGTAAATTTTTAGACCATTATAACTGTAATTTTTCGGGAAACTGTTGAAAAATCTCCAAAAACACTATTTTTGATTTTATTTAGTTTTCTAACTTTTTTCTAATTCCTATTTTTTAAGGCTTATTTTGTGTATTTATTGTGTCAAGTGGACAACTATTTACAAACAGACTTTAGTAAAAGACTAAATATTAAGAATATGGTTATTTTTATTAATTTTTGATAATTATAATAAATCAAAGAATATTCTTCCAAATTCTTAGCAAAACCTACAAATAGACAGCTTTTTATGCAAGAAAACCCACAAATAAGCGACTTTGACTGTATAGTCGGGGGATAAATAGCATTAAAAAGGGACAAAGGTAGTTAATTTTGATAAATATAATTTTGAAACTATAATTTTTAAAAAATCTATTTAAAGGTCAAAATAAACATAAAATTAAAATAATAATATAAATTATCGTTTTTTATTTTAAATGATTATAAATTGAATAATTATAAATTTCTATTTAAAAATAAACAAAAACACCTCAATTTGTCCACTTAGAAAAATGTGGAAGTCTAAAACGCAGCACTTTTTATGGTTTGTCTGAAACTTGTTTTGTTAAAGAATTTTTCCTTTGTTTTTTCTTTTGTTTCATTTCTTTTCTGCTCTTCTTCAACTCCAATTGTTTTAATGTTAAAATGGTCTTTCTCTTTTCTTTTCTCTATGGGAATGGTTTAACAACGAAAGATTGAAAGATTTTAACAAATAATGATTTTTCAGTGATTCCGTGACACTTTAAAGGATTGACACTGTTGTTAATTCATTAAACTCTGGCATTTTAACCATATACATCATGAATATATATTGAAATACAATTTTTAAACTGGTTTCTAGTATTTGAATTGCTTTTTTATGTTGATTGCCTGTGGTTGTTTCATCAAGGGTTCCTTTCTCTTCTTCTTCCATTGTTTTCAAAGATTGAATAATATCAATAAATAGAAAGTTATGGTTTTCTTTTATTATTTTCAAAGTGGTTAATTGAAAAAACCCTTCTAATACTTTTATAGTTAAATAAATTATATTTTATAGTTTTTTACTCAAATTAACTACTTCTGTCCCAAATTAACCCCCTTTATCACCCGACTATACTGTTTAAATAATTAAAATTCAATTTTTTAGGTTGAAATTTTGCTGTTTTGATTATACTCCACTGTTTTCAAAGTGTTCGTTTTTGCTATCACATGTGTCACCATTATTAATTATATTTAACAAATGTTTTTGCATTCCATATATTTAACGTTTATAAGCTTAACGAATTTTGAACTATATAATAAATATTTTAGAAGTAACACCGGCAGTATTCACCAACATCAACTGTTTCATTATTGACTAAATCAATCAGTTTTCATTTAGATATTGAGTTGTAAAAAACAAAGATAAAATAAAGTTGCAATTTTTTTGTGTATTGATTTTTTACTATAATTTATAGTAAATATACTAAATTATATTCACATGATCTTCCCGAACTGCTTCTATTTGAAATGCTACCACATGAACACCACAAAATGGGTGAAGAACTTAAAAGGAACTTTAAAACTGTTTCCAAATGAATAAGAAAAACGATGCCTCTTTTTTGGGCACCGTTTTTAATTTATCGAACACGATCATAGGGAGTGGAACTTTGGCCATTCCTTTTGCATTTTTACACGCTGGATGGGGAATGGGAATAATCCTATTAGTAGTAGCGTGTTTTCTTTCTGCGACGACGATGATATTTTTGGATATAGCGGCGGATGCCACGGGTAAGTTTACATACAAAGAAATATCATATGCGGTTGGAGGGAAGTATTTGTCGATAGTCACACAACTGTCTGCGTTTTGTTACACAACGGGGACTTGTATTGGGTACATCATATTCCTTGGGGGATTCATTCCAAGACTTTTTGGTGATTATGATGACGAGTGGTATAGTGACAGAAGCTTCACTATAACAATCATTTCATTGTTAATACTTCCTCTAACGTTCTTTAAGAATTTGAGTGCACTTAGGTTCTCTTCATTTCTTGCTATTCTCTGCATTTTGTATACCATGTTTACTATAACTATTGAGTACTTCACAAGATATAAAGAATTGAAAGTGCCTGCTGTTATGTTCAACTGGAGCTGGGACTTGTTTAGAGGCTTTCCAATCATGACTGTGGCGTTCTGTGGTCATTATAATGTACTCAGATTTTATGACGAATTACAGAATAGATCGACATTTAAAATTTCATTGGTTCAAATCATATCCACATGTCTTGCACTAGTCGTGTATATATTTGTGGGCACGTTCGGGTATTTGAGTCGTGGAGATGCATTGAAAGGAAATGTTTTAGTGACATACCCATATGACGATGTGCCCATTTTGGCGGCTTGTGCTTCTTTTGTTCTTGTGATGGCTGCGTCGTTCCCATTAGTTCATCACGCAGAGAGAGATTTATTAGACAGACTATGCTTTGGGTTGTGGAAGGATTCAGACAGAAGAAGAATATTTGAAACAATCACTTTAGTTAGTCTTATCATAGTAGTTGCGATTGCAGTGAGTCAAATTGAAGTAGTGTTAGTATACAATGGTGCCATATTTGGAGTCCTTGTTGTGTATGTTTTCCCCAGTTATTTTGTGTTTAAGACACAAAAAGGATTTTTGAAATGGTTTGGGTTTAGTATTATAATCATTGGCGTGTTTGTGTGCATTATAGGTGTTATTTTGACATCACTTAACCAGGCGGGTATATTCAAATGATTTTGTTTTAAGTTCCTTTGAGTTAATAATCTAATCTAATATATTATATTATAATTTATAATATATTATGATATATTATGAGAGATATGATATTAATATTAAAATACATATCAATTAAATCCTTCACAACCATTATACGAAAAAAAACACTTCATTATCTCGATGGCGACCTGTTTCTAAACCTGGACGAACTTCTTCGATTTGAACCGCGGCTTCTACTTCGACTTCTGCTTCTAAATGACGCGTTGTTATTTAAAGGACTTCTTCTATACTGCGGAGGGCTTCTGTCTCGTGGACTTCTTAGTAAATTTCTCTGCGACCCATTTCGTAATGGACTTCTAAATCGTCCTCTTGGTGGGCTTCTTCCTCTAGAAGGACTTCGTATTGGGCTTCTTTCTCTTGGTAATGAGTTTCGAGGTGGACTTCTTCCTCTTGATGGGCTACGTAATGGAGATCTTCCTCTAGGTGAAGCATTTCTAGGTGGACTTCTTCTAGGACTTCTTGATGGTGATCTTTTAAAAGACTGGAACGGTCTAAATTCGTCTCTATAAGGTGATGGGCTTCTTTTCTTCCGCACAACGAAAGTGTGTGTGTCTGTATTAATGTTAATTTCAGGCGGCAGCTCGGCCTTTTTATAAGCTCCGAACCCGGTCAAAGGCGAGAAAGTGTTTTCGATCATGAAATTTTCAGAATCGTATCTGACGACACAAACGTGTTCTGGAGCGTCTTTATTGCTCATCGTGAAATTATGTTGAAATCTCTCCTTGACCTTCTCTTCCAAAAGTTTGATATCGGAATAATTCGAACACGTCAAAAAGAACAACTTGTCATACCTTTTCGAGGGCTGAATGTCGCACTCCAACACGGTATCACACACAAATGTAGTGAACAACTCTTTTGGTTCCGAAGCGGGAAGTCGAACGGAAATGGTGTTTGTAAGGACAAAGCCATAATCATTCTCGCTTGGGGTTTTAGCAAGGTTTAACCAATTAGGAATCGACTCTTTGTTGATCCCATGTTGATCCCAAAGTCCAAGCAACTTCACTGCTTTGTCATGTTCCAATTTTGTCATGAAAGAAGTCATTAAAATGTGAGTCACTGCGGGTTGTGCAAGAAGTATAAAATCCGCTTTAAGGTCAGGAGACTCCAAAAAGCGCATTAAAGAGTCGAGTATGTACAGTTTCGTGATCGCCATTCCAACGTCGTCGCGGCGAAAAAAGTAATCGAAGATCCTCAGAACTTCCTCCTTCTATTTGTCGATATTTTGAATGTCAAGTTTAAGTTCGAGTTCATTGAGTAATAACTAATTGTGTAATAGGGTTTCCATACAGAAAACTGCTTGTGTGATGATGAGTAGAAGAACAAACTGGTATAACACTTTTCTCTAATAAAGACAACAACACCTCCACATCAAACATTCTTGGGAGCGTGTTCTGTAATATTCGCTGGAACATTCGCTCAAGATTTTTGGTATAGACATCTGCAGACATTCGTTTCTTTTTTCAGTTTTTGGTTTTTATCGGTCACATTATTACTATTAAATTTGCAAAAATAGCACGTCTTAATAATTTATTACCGTTATTTTTTTATTTATTATAATAATATATATATAGTATAATTCCATATACTATATGATATAGTAACGATACTATATATTTACATTTAATTATATTGAGAACAAAAAGAGACAAAACTCGAAAGAATCAAATGAGTACCACAAAAGAGGAAACTCTTCATTATATGTGTTTTACCGGCAATACAGAAAAAGTTAAATCTGCGTTAAATGCTGGGGAGGACTTTTCCCAAGTCGACAAAAATGGATATTCCCCGATACATTACACAATCATGAAACAAAACCTTCCTTTATTCAAAATTCTTCAAAGCCATTCATACCGTTTGTCAACTCAAATCATTGAAAACAATTGTGTTAAAACAACTGGAAGTAACTCGAAGAAACATCAAAGACATCATTAAAACTCTCATGCCTCCATTTGGCCATTCTGTTCGACGCATTCGACTTTTTTGAAGACCTCAAAGACCAAAAAGAAGAGATTGATGTCAATGGCGATACTCCACTGTTATACGCTGTTCGTCTTCAGAAAAACAACTTTGTGATAGCTCTTTTAAACAGTGGGGCATCGCCAACATCTCTTAATAAAGCGACCCAGGAATCTCCATTAAAGGCCGCGTTCTTTTACGGGAACGTTATTGCCGCTGCGGAAATCATACGGAAAGGAGCGCGGCTGTCTTCCGTCGACTCTGCACTTCGGCAAAAGAAATTGGACTTTGTTGTGAACCTTCAAAACATCAAGTCGAATATCAAAATTCTATACACTCCACAGCTCCTTCCCGGCAACGAACAAATATTCAAATCACTCGAAACAGATGGAGAGATCAGTGGAAAGAGTGGGAAGAAGATAATGGTCCACAGTTGTGTCATAACACAACAAAAGTTCTTTAAAGATCTCTCCGATGGCAGTTTAGATGTGTACGTTGAGTGGTCGTATTTACAGAAGTCCCCAACATTGGAAGCACTCAGTTTAGTGCAGTCATCGAAAGTGTTGAGTGAATTGATGTTGATTGAGACTATCAAGAATTACATCTCGTCCGTCGTCGTGTCACAAAAGGCCGTGTTCCCACCTGAGTTACTCAAAACGTTTTCTAATGCACAAAACAGAAACAAAAATATTGGACTGGCACGGTACGTTGTCAATTCGTGTTTTTTGAATTACGACGAGAACAGGAGAAGTCTTCATGAGTTGAGTAATGAGGAGTTGGGCAACATAGTTGAGGCACTGCAGTTAAAAGAAATCAAAACGGAGAAGCAAGTGGAGAGTGAGCCGGATCGATACAAAGATGTTGTTAAGCAAATAGTGCCGGTTGAAACAAAGACATTCCCAATGACATCAAACAACAAGAAGATGTGCTTGCAAATGTTAAATTGGATTATAGCGGACAAAAGTGTAGCTGCGTTCATGAGACCTGTTGACGAGATCTTAGATGGAGCTCCAAAGTATTACACAATCATTAAACAGCCGATGTGTATTGAGACGATTAAACAAACGTTAGCGAGTGGGAAGTATAAAACGGCGAATGGGTTCATGAACGATTTACGACTGGTGTGGACAAACGGAATGAAATACAATTACCCTGGGACGTTATTCTATACATACGCAAGTAATTTACTCAAAAAGAGTGAGGAGAAGTGGGGGAAGCTTCCCCTTGAAACAAGAGAAGAAGAGAAACAACAGGAGAAAAGTAAAGACCAGGAGATCCGTGAGAAGAAAGCACGGGAATTAGTCAAAGAAACGAAAAAGGAACGGATGGAGGAGGACCAACGAAGGCAGAAAGAAGCTTTAAAAGTCCCGAAAAAGAAAAAGGCTGTTGAGTTAGTAGTTGAGGATGACACTCAAAAGGATGTGATACGAGTCTACACTTACGAGGATAAAGTAAGAGTCATGGAAAAGGTGACCAAATTGTCTGAAGAAGCACAAAAGATGATCCCAAAAATTATGAGTGGGGATCAGACGGGAGAGGATTATGAGTTAGACCTTGAGACAATGTCAAATGCGGATCTTACAAAGCTTGAAAATTTTTGTGATTCGTATGCTCATTGATATTGTTATTGTTTTGTTATTCATGTTCTATACTATACTCTATAGTTAATAATACTTTGTAGTATAATTTCCCATATCTGTGTGTAACATTTAAATCTATTAATTACCAAAAATTTTAAAAACACTATAAAATATATACAAATAATTTAAATTGTTACCAAAACGTAAAATTTGCAGAGATGAGAAGAAAGAATAAAACCTTTTTTCTATGAGCTGAAGTATATGAAACTATTGTACTAGTAAAATAAAACAAGGAAAACCCAAAAGGAGGCGAAGTACTAAAAAATCAAAGAGGAGATGAGCAAGACGACTTCACCCGCACCAAAACCGGCTGCGAGTAATAAAGGAGAAATGAAAGAAGGAAAGGAGGGTGAGAAGAACATTTTGCAGAGTAATATCATAGCTGCGAAGAGCGTTGCCGACGCCGTCCGTACTTCATTAGGACCACGTGGGATGGACAAGATGATTATTTCCCCGAGTGGAGAGACCCTTATTACAAATGATGGGGCAACTATCATTCAACAGATGAAACTTCAACACCCATGCGCCATGATGATGTCCGAATTGTCTAAATCACAAGACATTGAAGCTGGTGACGGAACTACAACCGTCACTATTATGGCTGGCGCAATGCTTTCCTCAGCAAACATTCTTCTCTCGAAGGGTATTAACCCTTCTGTCATTGCTCGAGCATTCCACAAAAGTGCGAAAAAGTCACAAGAAATCCTTCAGGAGGTGTCAACACCAATCGACCTTTCTAATCGAGAACTCTTGATTAAAGCGGCTTCAACCTCTTTGAATTCTAAGGTCGTCAATCAGTCCACTGCACTCTTCGCACCAATTGCAGTCGACGCAGTCATGAAGGTCATTGATATCAAAACCGCTACAAACGTCGACTTGAGAAACATCCGAGTCACCAAAAAGATCGGAGGAACAACAGACGACACTTCATTGGTCGATGGGTTAGTCTTCTTACAACGAGCTTCACACGTCTCGGGCGCTCCAACTAAAATGGAAAAGGCGAAGATTGGGGTTTGCCAGTTCTGCATTTCACCACCAAAGACAAATATGGAAGGAAATGTTGTTATTACGGACTACGCACAGATGGACAAAGTGCTGAAAGAAGAGCGCGCATACACTTTGAAGATCTGTCGAGCTATTCAAAAGAGTGGGTGTAACGTCCTTTTAGTGCAAAAGTCTATCTTACGTGATGCGGTGTCTGACTTGGCCCTCCACTTCCTGTCCAAGTTGAAGATCATGGTAGTCAAAGACATTGAGATGAAAGACGTTGAGTTCATTTGTAAGACTATAGAAGCCGTCCCAATTGCATCAGTTGAAGGGTTCACTTCAGACAAATTGGGGAGTGCCGAGTTAGTGGAAGAGGTTTCGACTGATGACGAGGACAAAGTCGTCAAGATCACTGGAGTTACTGGAACCGCTCCCTGTGTGTCTGTATTAGTCCGTGGAGCCAATAGATTAGTCTTGGATGAAGCGGAAAGATCATTGCATGATGCTTTGTGTGTAGTAAGAAGTTTAGTGAAAACAAAGTACCTTTGTCCTGGTGGAGGAGCCATGGAGATGGAGTTGTGTTGCCAATTAAAGAAGTGGGCGGAGACTCTTGGTGGAGAAGAAGGGATGTGTGTGAAAGAGTATGCTGAAGCGTTTGAAGTGATTCCATTTACTTTAGCTGAGAATGCTGGGTTGAACCCCATGCAGTTAGTGACTGAGTTGAAAGTCGCTCATTTGAATGGAAAGAAAAACATGGGGATTTCCATCAAAAAGGGGAGTGGATGCCAAGGAAGTATTGAAGATATGGAAAAACTCGATGTTGTCAATCCACTTCTTGTCTTCTTGTCCGCTGTCAAACTTGCATCAGACACCGTCGGTGTGATTCTCAAAATCGACAACATTGTCGTCGCTCGATGATTTTTTTGAATTGAAAGTGCGTCGACTTTTTGATTATTTGATTACAAATGCTATAATACTACTTTTTTTTTTAACTATTTGTATGATAGTAATTAACGAACTAAAAAAACAATTTCTGGGGATGATGTATTGAAACCAAAAAAGAATATATTACTATATTATAGTTATTTTTATCAATAAAATGGTTGATTCATTTACTACTTAATTTAATGTGCTGTTAAATTAAAATAGCACGTTAAATACTTTTACCATTTGCTCGATGAACTTGAAAAAACTTGAAAAAAACTTGAAAATATCTGATGTTGTACAACCTTCGGATTTTGACGGAGACTGGAGCCCTTCTTTATGAAAAAACGTGGACGAAGGTGGTAGAAAACATCGAAAATTTCCGCACGATGATTCCACAGTTATTTTCCGCGATGATGCGGATGGCACAATCATCGATGGGAATGTCCCTCCGATTCATTAGCGTAGGAGGGATCTCCGTTTCTATGTCGAACAACACAGAGGCAGGACTGATATGTTATGTCTTTTATGATGAAGATGATGGAGAGGAAGTTGGTCAATTTGTGAGCGAAGCAGTGTTAAGAGAGTTCATGATGAGTTATCAAATAGAAGACGTGACATCTCCTAAATTGGTTGAATTCAAACAACAGCAGAAGACATCCCTCTTTCTGAACTTTTCGAATCTTTTGGTTAACGCCATTCGAAAAGCTATAAAATCCGTGTTGACAGAGTTCAAGAAGAAACAAGGCATTTTGTCTGCAGATATCATCGAACACGAAAAAGTCACTGGGAGCGAGACGGAGAGTACAAGCGGAGGAGTCGAAATCATTGCAAATATTAAGACTATGGTCCCTTTAATCGACTCCATTATGAGTCTAAAAAACATGGGAAATAGTATAGTGACTTTCGTCGAATTCACTACTAACAGACTTGTCGTGCAAAAAGTCCGCACCGGGTGCCTTGTAGTAGTCGGGCAAAAAAATATCGCTGCAAAAATCCTTGAAACAGAGATAAAAAAATACGCAACGATGGTGGAAACAATTCAGGGAATGGTTTCTGCTCTTCAGTAATTTTATCGCTTTTTTGTGTTTTTAATCACTGGTTTCTTTGGTGATGTGCCCAACATATTGGTCGACTTTTCCTTTGCTTTAAGAATGTGTAAATATAATAAAATTAGAATTAAATCATTAACAAATTAATAATAAAATCAGTCTGGAAACCTTATTTATTCCAAAAACCTTATTTATTTTTTTCCCTTTGAAAAAAATGCAAATTTGGGATGTTTAATAAATATTACTATTATTTAAACTATTTTCCAATAACACAACCAAAAACATAAATGGGGTTAAAGTCATTTAGCCAATCATTTCATTTTTTCTGTTTGTCAATAAATGGTGATATTAATGGTGTTATTACCCCAAATTAACGGGAAAATACACAAAACAAACCAAGTTTTTTGGATCATTTTTGAAGAATTTTGCTATAAGGCGTGAGTCGACTTATTAAATGTACAGTCTGTCTCAAACGTTATCTGGTGCCTTTTGGACCATAAAAAATGGAATAATTCGGGGAACAGTCCCAAAAATCCATCCCAATTGTTTCGGTTTTTTCACGCTTTACCTAATGCCCGATGTTTAGACAAAAATGAAAGTATTTTTTGTCCACCAGATAACGTTAAAAGACTGACTCTACTCTTACAAAGAGCGAAATGAAGTCCACGCAGCCAAGACAATTTATTATAAACAACTTTTACCCGACTGCAGTACAACAATTCGATGTTCGAGTCTGCCAAGCGTGGTGTTCTTTTGATTATGATTGTCTCGTTGTTTTTTATGAATTATTTAATTAAATCCAAGTTGATTATTGTCGAATTCTCGTGTTGCATTTGTCATCTCACACACAAAAATCCACCCAACCGCTGCTTACAACAACGGCACCACTCTCTGGTGTTATACGCGATGTTTGAGTAAAAAATCAAATTTGTCAATTTGTCTAAGTTCGTTTGAATTGAAAAAACAAAGATTTCAAACAAAAAAAATAATTTTGAAAAACAAAACCAAATAACAAAAAAAAATAACCTATTTTTGTCGATAAATAAGGTTTTTGGAATAAATAAGGTTTCCAGACTGACTTTATTAATTATTCTTTGGTATTAGTGTCTTAATAACAAAAGTGTATAACAAAACTTTTGTTTTACATTTTTATATAATAAAAAATGAAAAAAATCGGTTTGAAAAAATTAATTAAAATACCTTGTTAGAAAAATTACTTATCTTAACAATTATTAGACAAGTAATATCAAGTTATTATTTTTTTTATTATATTGAAACTAGAAAATTTAATTTAAAATGTTACAAATAATTATTTGATTAATTATTTTTTTTAAGTGAAACAATCCTCAAATTTTAGTAAAAATTAAGTTTTAGTACTTTATGGTTTACTGTATTCAGAAATTTCCAAAATCACAATCCTAATTACCCATGTCACCATTATATAACCAAAATGATCATTTTCTCTTATAAATTCGTACGTTATAATACCACATTTTCGGCAATAAATATTTTGGAAACGCCTGACTGTATTTTTAGTATTTTTTTAGATAGGATTAAAATAATAGATAAATTATAGTTATTCAAAACTCTTCAATAATTTAGAATATATTATCATTATTTCTATATTATAAAACTCAATTTAATTAGAATAGTTTTTGGTATAATTGTAAGAACTAAAACTTTTCTTTTAATTTAATTATTTCAATTGACCAAATTACAAAGAAATAAATCCATTAAAAAATATTCAATTTATAACGAGATGAACAGAAGAAACAATCATTTGAACACATCAGAGATGTCGGGTTGATGAGTTGAAACGTCTATAACATCGGCAGGAATATCCATTAAAGTGACATCCTTTGTTTTCATAATGTGTTGAATTCGTTGGAATCGGGCATTGAACGCATCAGTGTTTTGATTTTCGTACACTCCAATAGATCGTGTAACGTCGACGTCTCCCATCCATGGTGGATTATTTCCAGGTCGCCCATAATTTGGTACCGGATTTTCAAACCCCGACGTTAACTCGGGTACTCTTACAGGAGGAAGTGTTCCTATAGGAATTGATGAGTAAGGTACGTCTGTTTTTGAAAATGGTCGGAAGCGATTTTGGGAAGATCTTGACTCTCCTTTTGCAGGTCTACCCTTTTGTGCGTTATGTTCGGTGTATTCGAGATTCTCTCTGGTGTTTGTTTTGTCGCTTGTTGTGTCTGAAAATCCCTTTGCGATGGTCTCGAAGTCCATTTTGATGAGTGTAATTTTTCTCTCTCTTTTCCCTTCAATTTGCATTTCGGTTGTTTGGTCTTCTGTGTCCTTTTTTGATGCAAACATCCCAATTAAACACTTCGAATTTTGTTTGAAAATTTCGGTGATAGCAACCTTAGGGTTCATTTTCTTTTCAATGATTTCTTGTGTTTTCGTCACAGAGGAAGGCAACTTATCGATTTTGGTATTCAGACACTTCCCCAAGTAGTCAATAAATAGATAACACTTCTGAGTTGGAAGGGTGTCGACAGCAACTTTTTGTATTAACCCATCCCACTGTGGACTTTTCTCCTCATCAGAAAGCATCGCGTCGAGGACATATAACGGGGTCGATAGTGGCAAAAGGGAGATCTTCTTTTCAAAGTACTTTTTGCTCTCGTCGCCGAGTGTACCAAAAAACTCTTTGTAACTTTGGGAATCCGAAATCTTAGGGAATTTCAGTGAGAATGCCGGACAACTTTCGTGTATAAATAACAAATTGATGAGGTACTCAAACTCGCTCCACGTTAACTCGTCGATCCGTTTGAAAACAAAGTCAATATACTCCCTCACACGTGAACAATTGGGCGTTTCCTCTACCCGTTTAATAGCGCGATAAATACTCTCTACCACTTCTTGAGAGACAGATGGGTCGACCATTGAGTTTAATTAATAATGTTATTTTTGGAATGGTTTCCTTTTTTCTGGGTTCTATTAATAGAATCAATCTTGTTCTATACGAATAATACTTGTAACTATTACTTAAATACCTTATGATTTGAATTTGTTTATTAATAGAATCCATTGTTTTGTGCAAAGAATACAGTAAACTTACTTCTACTATCGGGTCATCAGTATAATTAAACAAGTACTTGATTTGAATCGTTTAACAAGTATTTAACATGAACAAAAAATATTATCACAAAAAAGACAAATAATCAGAGTGTCCCAAAATTTGCAAATAAGTCCCAAGTTAAGAGTTTGGATCAATAATCCCGTCTTTGTCGATATTTTAATGGTAATTTATAATTTAATTTCGGATTATCGTTTCTTTCAACACACTGAATTAATATCAATTTGTTTTTTGAATTTTTCTTTAAAATTTTTATAATGTTAAGTTCTTTTAGTTAATAATAGGATTTGTTTTTCATGAATTTGTGTTTGGGAAATGTTTTGTTTGTTGATCGATTTTTATCATTAAGAAAAAAAAAGCGACAGTGATATTTTTTTCATATTTATTTTGGAATAAATAATTCAAGTTTAGATATTTATTATTGTCATAAGCTTTGCGAATGTTTATTAAAGTTGTTTCTGTATGTCTGCGCTTTGTCTTGATAATGCTTAGTATGTGTTTGCACCGATGTTTCTTTCGTTGTCTTGGATTTTAGTTAAATAAGAAGTCAATTATTTTTTTAAAAACAAATATAATGTTTTATTTTTTTGAGATAATAATTTGACAAAGCAGTATTATTAGTTATTTAAACTGCATTATTATTTTTTAACCGACTTACTTTTTGATAATAAATGTAAAAAAAAGAATATAACTGACATTGTTCACCAACTTGACTAAAAAGCAAAAGTTTATTTACACAACAATAAAATACTAAAAAAAACATAAAAAAAAACTTTTAAATAATTGTTTTTTTAAATTGGTAAGATGTTTTATTTTTTTGTTGTTTGTATTCAAAAACATCTGTTCAAGTATTTTTTAGTTGTCAGTCGGGTTAAGTGTGATTTGAGTTTAAGATCACAATTATAATTTATTTGGTTAAATTTAGTTTATTCAAATAGAATAATAAACATAAATTTGCAAATCAATTATTTACTGGAATATAGTTTGGTATTTTTTGTAATTTATTAAATGTAAACAACAAAGTTACTATAAAAAATAAAATACAAGACTTTGATATTAAATAAGTCATGTTGGTTTAAATATTCACAGACAAAAATTGTAAATATTTTTTTACAAATATTAAGTTTTGAACTTCAAATATACAAATTGACAAATATATATTTAAGAATTAAAATGTTGTGAATAAAATAAAATAAACACATATAATATTTTTATTAGTTTTTTAAAATTTAATTTTTTTAATTATTATTTTTTATTATAATTTACAAACAAGTGGTTTTTTAAACCAAAAAACTGTTTGTAATTTAAACAATTATACTAATATACTTTTGTTTTACTTTGTTTAATATTAATTACGTTTTGTTTAACAATTTGTGTGATTGTTTAATATTTATTATTTCTTGACAAATATTGTTATTTTAAAAATATTTAAGTTTTATAACAAAATATTGATCAAAACAACAAAAATAATTATTATGTATTGACAAGATATTATTGTTATTCACAACTCTTTTATTCTATTCAAATTATTCGTAGTAATCAAGTTTGGCATTCGATGTGTGACTCATATCTTCATTGATTATCAAATAATTATTTTAGTTGACATTTCTTTCACTTGTTCCAAGATGATTTTGAATTAGTTTTAATTTCTTTTCATTGTGATCAAAAAATGTTTAACCTTATATTTTTATAATGTTGATGAAAATAAATAATACTGTTTGTGTTTTAATTAAAACATATTGAAAAATCAAAGAAAAAAAACACAAATTAAATAAATTATTGTTTGTACAAATAGCTTCCGAGTTTCATATGACAATTAAGTTGTTTATATGAAAATTGTTTTGTTACATTTTAAGTAGTTTGTAATAAAATTGTTGGTTCGCGATTGTATGATTACATTATAACTACATACCCACAAAAAGTCTTCTATCGAGGTTGTAATCAGACCTTTGTCGACTTATGAAAAAAATAATTTTTTAAATACATTTAAAAACAGTATCATAAGGATAAAAAATATTAAAATATTTTTATTGTTATTAAAACGTGTTTTTAAATTATGAAGCACGGTCATTGTTACAACTTAAATATAAAAGTCAGTGTTGTTTTTTATTTTTCAGTTATCAAAATGAAAAAAAAATACAAAAAAAACAAATTTTATAAATTATAGTTTTAAATTAAATTATATTTATATTAAAAATATAATTCAATAAATAATTATTTACTAATTTTTGAATAAATCATAATTATTGTGTACTTGTAACTTAAAATCATGTGTTTACATTTTCGAGTTTTTGTGTTCGAATTGATATGTATAGTAATAGTATTAGTAACTCAATAACAAAAAAAAACAATAATTATAAAATGAAGTAAATAAAAGATTAACAAAAATATGTTTTTGTTTGATGAATTTGATTGATTAAAAAATATATTAAAATAGTATATTATTATATCAATATAAATTATAAAAAATATATAACACTTTAAATATAATAAACTATAGTTATAGTTATAAATTAACTTAATTTTTTTAAAATAAAAACATTTTAGATACATGACATTTCGAAACCGAGACAAGCACAGAAAAAGTGCATTTTCGTTAAAATAATGGTAACTTTTAATATAAAATTTAGTTAATCATATTATTACATATCTATTTCAATTTTATTCACATTATTAAAGTGTAATATATTTTAATGACTGTACTCCACGACATAAAAAAAATCCTTTAAAAAGATGTTTTACCACATTACCTTTTATGCTTCAAATACCATTAATTCAAATTATTACACTTATTTAATATTATAATAAAATAATACTAATATCCCTTTCTTTCATAATGAAGTAGTTGATTATTTTAGTTAAAATTTAATTAATTCTAGAAAGACTACTTCTTATTAGGCAAACAAATCTTATCTTCTCCATTTATTAATTAATTAATCCCTGTATTTCCAGTAAATGTTACTCTGTTTTATTCATGTTAACTAAAGAAAAAAGTTATCGAAGAACTTGAAACCTAGAAACATGAGTGGTATCGGTGACGCAATAAGCAGGAAGTTTTACCAAGTTAAAACGCACGTCGGCGCCGGACAGAAAACAGTTGACTCTGATGTTCAGTACTCCAAGACTAAATTAGGCGAATCCCACAAAAAATTTAAGAACGTCTTAGCAGTCATTCAGAAGCTGGCACCGACACTTCACGCAACCAACTTGATGCAGGTTGAAGTCCTCACAACACTAGGCGACACGATTAAAGGTGAACAGACATCTGATACATTGTCTCATGTTGAAAGTGTCATTTCGACGTTCCAAGAAATCGATGAAGGTGTCAACGAGTACCAAAACAGACTTGAACAGGACATCATTGTTCCTCTTAAAACGTATTTGGACCAATTCAAAACACTTGAAAAACGGTTTGAGACATGCCACTCGAGACGTGTTGATATGGACAGATTCCACGACAGTGTTCTTTCTATTTCTAAAAAACCACCAGGAAAGCAAACGGGTCTTGCCGAATCACAAAACAAATACAATGTTGCTCGTGACCTCTATAACTATTTGAGAGATGAATTAATTGCCGATGTCGACAAGTTAAGTTCGTCTGCAGATGATGTAGTCTCGCCAATAGTTGGGACTTTACTCGTGAGTTATACTGATTATCTGAACCACTTAAATAACTACTGGGGAAAGGCATCAGAGGCGGCAACAAATTTCAAAATTCAGGCTCTCGACCCAACCCCTATTATCACACCGGGTGAAGCTTCTATGGTTATTGACGCTAATGTATTCTCCAAAAAGAACAACGACGTTGCTGATGGGTCATACGAACCATCTGAATTTGAAAATTCGACACCATCAAGTGCGGCAAGAACGTCAACAAGCAGTGGAAAGAGAGCACCACCACCCCCACCAACACGTGGACCGAAAAAGGAACAGGTCAAGTGCGAGTATGACTATACGGCACAAGACCAAGGAGAGTTGTCATTTAAAGAAGGCGATCTTATTGAGGTGATCAAAAAGGAAGGCGATTGGTTTGTTTAATAATATAATATAATAATATTAATTAAAACATAATCAGACGTTTAATTCAATAATAAACTCACTTGAAGGTGGTTAGGAGAATTGAATGGACAACAAGGGTATTTCCCTTATAACTACACAACTCCAGTCTAATTGACCTTTTTAATTAAAATTCATTTTTTAGCAACGCCTCATTTTGGCGAACACAAATATTTGAAGTTCATTCAAATAACAAAAAATAACTGAGTAAATAAATGGGGGTTTGGGAATTTAAGTACCCGTTATTGTCTGGACTTGCAGGGAGTTTGGGAGGATTTTTCAGTAAAGGGATAACATCTCCGAATATCCCAATGAGCCACAATTGGGTTGGGTATCTCATTAGGGCATTATGTTTAATACTTATGTTTCTCTCGAATGCGAGTGGAGGGTTCTTCTTTGCAAAAGCATTAAGCGAACTACCGTCTTTAGTGGCGACAATCACTTCAACATTAACTGGATTTGTCTTGTCAGGTCTAATTGGTAACATTTTAGGCGAAGAAATCCGTCTCCAGTGGTATTTAGGAATGATAGTTGTTATATGTGGGGTGACTTTGTTGTTAGTTGACAACAACGAGAAAGAAGACTTCGACAAAAAGAAGGTAGAACACGAAAAACACGACAATGCTTTGAGATCCAAAAGTGAATAACTCTTCAATTATACCGACTCCAAATAAGTAACGATGTTATTTCTTCATTTTGTTCTTCGGTGTTTCAGCAATTTGAAACCCTTCTTCTATTATATCAAGTTTGTCAAAGTCAACATAGTCCGGATTCTTCATATAAGACCCCACAAGTGTGATTTGGCCCTCTCCTTTACCAATAAAATCCACATCGTTGAACGTAAATGGTATATTATAAAAAGTGGTCTGTGGTGTCAAATAAGTCCCCACCAAAAACGGGACAAATTTCTCGTCTTCTCCGTCATCGTCTTCATCCAATTTGTCAAAGTACAAAGAGCATTTCCCACTCGTTGTCACTGATTGTAATTGAAATAACATTTTTTGTGATATTGGAACTGTTTGTCTTGTACCCTCTGCACTTGCTGTGAATTCAAAACTTCGCATTGACATCAAATTTTATGTATTTTGTAGGTTTGGATTGTTTGTTATTGTGGTACTTTTGAATTAGTATATTAAACTATATTCATTAAATAAACAAGTATAGTTTATTTAATAATTTATTTTATAATAACATGTGGTTAATATAAAAAGTAATTAACGAGCAAATTTTATTGTAATGAGAGGTTGACATGAATTTAACAGTTCAATTGATGAAAATACTCAACAGAAATCCTTTCAACGATCACTTCAAATATTCGTTAGTGAAATTCGCACAGAACTCCATTGTTTCTTTGGGATATTTTCCAAAGACAGTTTCGTCTGACAACACCATTCCATCATAACCGTCGGCTATTAAATTACCCAAATAACAGATTTCAGAACGAGTTGGGATTAGGTTATCACACAAATGTTCCATCACTTCGCCAGCCATAATGGATGGGCATTTCAATGTTTTCATAAATGTGGTATACTCCCTCACAAACTTTGCCATCCCAACAAATCCAAGCTGTACGCCCATATCCCCTCGACATATCCAGATCTCGTCACATTCCTTTGAAATGCCAAGAAGCCTCTCTACGTCCATCTCCCTCTCTATCTTCGCGGCAACGTATTTCCCACCACTTCGCTTTTTAAGGTCCAATATCTCTTCTACAACACATACAAATGAAAGTGCAAAACAGACTTCTTTAACATCTTTAAGTCGTTCAACTATGTCTGCGTCTCGTTGGCTCAACGCGTTTTGAACGAAAGGATGGGGTTGGAGATTGAATCCCTTTCCTGGTCTAAGCTCGCCGCCTTTGAGTATTTTGGCAACGGCGTGACTTTCAGACTCAACAGAGACGACCTCAATTTCAAGGCGGCCATCGTCGATCTTCACATGAGTCCCTTTTTGAAGCAACTTGATGGTGTTTGGATTCCCAATATGAATCTTTTTCGTGTCTGGTGTCGGCTCCTCAATAGTTAGCTCCACCTCAGTGCCTTGAACAAGTTGTATAATTGGTTGAGAGCGAGAAACACGGATCTTACTTCCTTGCAGATCGACATATATTCTTTGTCCGGGGTACTTTTTTGTCAACTCGCCAACAAACACAACAAGTTGGTCGACTTCCATATGAGACGAATTGACACGCAAAAAAGTGTTGGCGTGGCCAAGCACCTTTTCAGCTTGTTCCATTGTACGAACAGTTGGGATAAAAATGAACGACATAACAATTATTTTGAGTTCCAGTTCTTGTTTTTTATGAAACAAATTGCATACGAAAAACGAAAGTCGAAATGGTTGAATTGAATGGTATCCATTTCTTATTCAAAAGTTTGTGTTTTCTAATAAAAATGTAAGAAGGAGTGTATACAAATACGTTCAATTCAAAGAGTACATAACAACCGAATTCCCAGCAACAACCGCCAACCCAAAATCATAGCTTGGGAACGTCACAAAACTCGCAGCAGTCGACTTAATTCGCAAGAAGTTTTCATACATTTTGACGTGTTGCCAGACCTCTCCCGTGATCACGTTAAACACTTTGACGTGGTTGTTAACAGTCCCAACAGCGAAATAAGGCGCTTCTTCATGTACACACGCAGAAGTCACATCAGGCCCGACTGATATTGTCTTGTAAGGACAGGTGTTCTGTTTCTCCCCAAACTTCCTCACATCATATAAACAGACTCTTCCGTCATTTCCTCCACTCGTCGAGACAACG